GGGGGAAAAGTGCTGTCGCTTTAAATCGGAACTGAGCATGCCTGGCTGTGGAATTCTGGGAGTTGAAGTCCACAAGTCTAAAAAGTGCCTCACCACCCCTAAAGCTGACTGCATATCACTCCTTATTAGGTACCAAGAGCGTGATTTGCAGGCACATTCTTGCCATAGGCATCATGTTGTCCACCCTGGTACATTCATATCTCAGACTATCTGTTCATTTGTATGTGTATGTATATGTACACGTGCATACATGTGCACAAAATATTCTTCCACATCTTTCTTATATATTCCTCCACTAATAAATTCCAAGAAAAATTATCTAGCAACAAGTAAAGCTCATTGTTTACCAGTTGTTTCTTATTTCTTTCTCTCTCAAAATAAAATAAAAGCCAAGCATTCTCTTGGTCTCTGACTTTGGCTCCAAAATCCTTTCCTTTCTTAGATGATGGATGACATTTTATCAACAAACGAGGACTCTCCATCAAAAGTATTTCCCTTCCCCTATGTGGTAGAATACTTCAGCAAACTTGGGGCCTTACATCCATTGCCATCTTCCAAATGCAAAACATTTTGAATGATCAGCCTCACACTGAGTTACTTGTGCAGAATTTAAAATCAGCTCCACTGTCTAATGAAGAGTGAAGGGACTTTATGCTTGAGTTGGGGGGTGGGATGAAACTTTGGTTTTGCTGATAAGTTTGTTGTTATAGAAATGGCTAGTATATATTATCTTATAAAAGTAAAACATTGAGGTTTTATGTTACTACCTTATTCCACTGCACTAAAAGGAGCCAGAAGTCAATGCTTTCCTTTTTCCCTTTATCCTACACTTTCCTTCCTTTTCCTTCTTTAATTTTCCATTGTCTCCATTTTTATTTTATATTTTGATAAACTAATAAAAATGTTTGAACCCTTAAATTAGAATGTGAGCTGAGTTCCCACCTTTACCACAAAACCAACTGGGGGACGCGGTCAATCACCCTTGGCCCTAGGAAGGAGGCAAGGGCAAACCACTTCTGAAATCTTGCCAAGAAAACTATAGGGACCTATCCAGGAAATCACCAGGAATTATATTGACTCAAAGCACATGTGCACAGACACATACACACAAATATGGTGTATATAACAAAAAGTGTATATAGCATTTGTTTGTTCAATCTAGCATCCTTCAACAACAACAATAGGAGGGGAGGAGCCTACGTCGCTATGAAATGGTCGCCCAATCTCGATGCTGCCAATACTTTTTTCGCTGGGTGGTCCAATCAGACCTAAACCGTCCCGTGGAGATGGTGAACAGAAAGACTATGTTCTGTGGATCACAGGGACATCACAAAGTCCCTGATTGATGCAGGAGAAGGTCTCTCAGCTGGCGTTAAAAGCTCAGCCCCTAGGCTGATGAAGTAGGGACG